GCTTTCAGCTTGCTGCCCCTTGGCTGGGTCTGGGGTCTCTTAGGGGTGCTCAGAGCTGATGGGGTATCCTGGCCTCCTGCAATATCCATCTGGATGATATAAGCAAAGCTTCACCCCCACACCCCTCTTTTTTTCTTTGCCCTGTCTCACCGTGGTGGTCACTCTGCAGCAATCAGACCCCGGTAAGATGTTCCCCGAGCTGAAGGGCAATCTGATGGACAACATGAAGAGACTGAAGAACACCATGACTGATGCAGACTGGAAGGTTGGTGCTTGTGGCCATACTACTCTTCTCCTTCCAGGAGCACCCCACTTTGGGGAGGGACTGGGGTGTCCCCACCTGGAAAAATAAAGTCCTGGTTGAGCCAGGCTTGAGTTTACTCCCACCCTATGGAAGGTGATGGTGCTCACAACCTTCCTTGGCCCGAGCTGGAGCTTGTGTCATGTTTTCCCCATGCTGCACCCCACCCTGCTGGTTAATGTCCTGATTCTCTTTCTTGCAGTCCTTTGAATCCTGGATGCACAAGTGGCTGCTGTTTGAGTCAGCCAAGAACCTGGAGCAGGAGGCACCAAAGGTGATCCCAGCGGCAAAAGGTATCAGTGATGGGGGCTGCCGAGCTGGGGAGGATGGGGACTGGCTCTTCAGGAGCAACTGCCCCCACAGAAGGTTCAGGCATGGGGCTTCCCAAAAGGCAACTGCATCCTCAGTGCCCTGACCGGTCATAGAGCTCTTCATTCCACAGCTGGTGGCCTTTAGGCTCTCACAGAGCCCATGGGGCATTTGGGATGAGCACGTCTGAAAAACCAGATCCTGAGTCCTTGACCCCCCTGAGAGCTTTAGATAGGTCAGCGGGTTTGGGCTTGTTCACCTTTTAAATTTAACTTCTTCCGGATAAAAAGCTCCTGGGGGTGGGGGAAGCCTCATGGTGTTTCCCCTTTGTTTTTATTGCCCTAGTGCAAACTAAGTGCCAGGCAGAGGCCAATGCTGAGGGTGTCCGGCCGGGTCGCTTCCGCCCGCAGTGTGACGAGAACGGCGACTACTCACCCAAGCAGTGCAATGCCTCCACGGGCTACTGCTGGTGCTCCTACAAAAATGGCACCAGGATTGAGGGCACGGCCACGCGGGAAAAGCTGGACTGCCCTGGTAGGTCACTAGGGAAGGGGAGGAGGAGAGGAACAAGCAGCGTGCGTGGGTGCTGCCCTGCACCTCGCTGTCTTGCTTGCAATTAGGGAGGAGGGGAGCAGGATGCCCAGGCTGTAGAGAGCATCCCTCACCTCTCTTTGGTGCCAGCATGTGAAGTCTGGAGGGCACCCTAAAAATCCCAGCCCTCCTTGGGTAGTTGCAGCTAGAGGCGAGACATGCAGTCTAGGTTTTCCCCAAGCCCAGAGCTCCTTGGGGTAGGTGCAGGCTCTCCCCTGCTGCCCTCAGAAGGGTGGGGGGCGATGGGACAGCCCCAGAAACTCCAGCAGCCACGTCCTGCCCTTCCTCTGCAGATCCTGCCGTGGAGCTGGAGGAGATGAGCTTCTCTGGGGTGGACATGCCCAAGCTGAGTGCAGTGAAAGGTGAGAGTACGAGTGCAGTGGTGGGGCTGGGAGGGGGGAAATCCCTGTAGGCTGAGGCAGAGGTGTGGGAGGTTGAGGGAGATACAGATGCACCCCCAAAGCACTGCTGGCAAGGTGGGGGTGACAATGGCGACACAGCAAAAGCAATTTGGGCTTTGGGAGGTTCTGGAGCCGTCTTAGTGACTCCTTTCTCTCTTTCCCCAACAGCCAAGTAGAAGAGGATGCCAGTGGGTACCTGTCCCCTCTTCAGCATCCCAGCTCACATGCTTTAAGTTTTTTTCTTTTTGCTCTGTTTCATTTCTGCTCCCACATTGCTTTTCGAAGGCGGTTAACCACGGGCACCCCTGTGAGCCCCTGCCCCTCACGGCAGTGTTTGCACCCCTTCCCCTGCTGCACCAGCCAGGGCTGAGCTGCCATCGTGTGTTCCTTCAGAGGGTGGGTAGAGCAGGATGGAAAAACCGATTTCGACGATGTCAGACCCATAAACCTTGTTCCCTTTTGCTCACCGGCATCCCACAGCAGCCAGAGAGCAGCAGTGCTCACCCTGCTGAAGAACAAGCCACTAATGCTTTCTTACACTAAACGAATATTAAAAAAAAAGCGCAGCAAAACAACATCCACCGGCTTCTTAACTGACCCCCGTAGGCTGAAGCCCCGTTAGATCAGTAGAGCAGAGGGGTTTAGATTGTGGAGTGCTCGGTTTTGTGGACAGGCATTCACCTTCGGGCTGCAGAATGGCCACAGCAGCAGGTGAACAGCGGGAAGAGGAGCTCACCCTGGAATCAGAGGGGCTTCCAATTGTTCTGAATTACCTGGCAGTTCTTTTATAAACAATCTCACAAGCTAATGATTTATAATAAACTTTTGAATATGAAAGCCTTGTAAGCAACTCTCAGAGGGCAGCGCTTGCAAACACGTTGCTGCTGTCCTGGCTTATAAATAAATGAATCTTAAGGGAAAAAAAGGAAAGGTTGCTGCAAAGACACCTGGATATCTGTACCCCTACCCAGGACTGTATGTATTCCTGGCCCATCACTTGTTCAACTTCCCCTGCACCTTGGGGTCCCCCCTGCACCCCAGCTGACGCCTCACCCGGGGTGCAGTGAGGAGAGCAGGAGCAGCCCCTCATGGCAGGAGCCATCTGCCTCCTGTGCCTGGGTTGCAAGGATCACAGCCAAAGACAGGAGGGAGGAGGACAAGGGGATCCCTTTTTTCCTCACTTCCCAGGTGCTTGGAGGGAAGCAAGGAAAGCAGGCAGAAGCCCAGGACACAGCGTGGTGTGGCTGCTGTCAGCGAGGCAGCAGGCTGGGTTCACACAGGGTGACACAGAAACCTGCTCTCGACACTTTAGTCATGAAAAGAAACACAACAAACCAACACTAGAACACGCAGTTCAGAACCGAGGAGTGACAGCGCCTGCTTGTCCCAAGGAAACAGGCAGAACATAAAACTGATTTTTCCCCAGGGGTGGAAGCAGTGCCTGGGAACCCGGGCAGACACCGGGCTCTGCTCCCCGACCTGCCAGCTCCTCCAGAGCCTGCTGAGCTCTGCGCCCCAGCGCCAGCCCTGCCGCCCTGGCCTCGGTCACCTCCCTTCCCCAGAAAGCAGCCGATGCACAATCTCACCGTTCCTTTATTTTTTTATTTTTATTTTGTATTCCATAAAAAAACCTCACAAAAAGTTTCACTGTCTTGGCCGAGAACAGCTGCTGGACGCAGCTGCTCAGTGCAACTCCAGAGACACAATAACCACTGCTGTCAGTGTTAGAATAAAAAGTAAACCCAAGGGCTCTCTTCCATAGTAGCAAAAGGACTGACACCACAAACCACAGAAGGAGGGGTAAAAAAAAAAAAAAAGGTAAAAGTTTCTCTTAAAAATATAGCTCTGTGATGAGAAAGAGGTGGCTGGGTGTCAACTAGGAGGAAAACAGTCTATGCAAGCTGGCTCTTCTCTGGTCGATCTGCCTCCTTTGGTTCAGTTCTTGTGCAACGGGTGAGCGGTCAGGAGGGGCAACAAACACGTCTCTGGGCCCCAGCAGGACAGGAGGAGGCAGAAAGTTACACTGCTCTGCTCTAAAAGTCACAGTTAAAAGAAGTTATAAATTATTATCTAAAAAAAAAAAAAAGTTGGAATTCTCCTGATGAGTTTTCTTTTCCTCTCTTCCATCTGATCTTCACCCATAAATCTTTAATCACAGGGATGCGGTACCTTTGGGGAGAGGAGTTAAAAGAGTTAGGGGTGAGGAAGCGAAGAACAGCCTTAGAGCTGAGCAGGGCAAGGGCAGAGTCGTCTGGTCCACTTTCCAGGTGGCTACAACACCACCATCTAATCCACACCACTTTCCTGAGCTCCCTGTGGTCAGCAGGGACAGACAGACACTGCCAGAGGCTGCTTATCTCTGCTGATGACAGAGGACAGCAACATCCAGGCTGGACATCCAATTCTCAGCAGCTAAAAGGTGAGGTCAAACACATCCAGAGAAGCCAGCACGCTGCTGCATGATTTTCCTTACACCATTTCGCTCCCTGGCTCACTAATCTAAGGCTGGGTGACTCAGTGAGCGTTCTGAGGTCACACTGTCTTCCAAAGACCGGCCCAGGAGCAGTGAATTTGGCCAAGGTTACCGCTGCTCAGAGGTACCAACTGCCAAGTCCCCGCAGGCCATGTACCTTCTCACAATCCTTCAGGCTGGGCTGTTTTCTTCTTCTAAAAAGGAAAAGGTGAGAAATAAATCAGTATCATCTGCACAACAAACATGAAGGTCCCAGTAAAGCCTCCCACAGAGGCTTCTTGGCCACCACCTCTGCAGGGCCATATCCATTACACAGAGCATCCTACAGTCTCTCCCTCTGCCCCATTTCCCAGCCCTCGGGACAGGATGCAGTAAGCCTGCCAAGCCCTGAGGAGCTCCAGCTTCTGCTGAAAATGGGTAGATGAACAGACAGCTGAAGATGAGCGCTTACTCCTTTGGGCAGGTTCTCTGCCACCAAAAGGGTCACCCTGGTTTCACCCTTCCAGGGAAAGGGATCTCTCCTGGGCACTCCAATCCCAACCAACCAAAGGTGTCTCAAGACTAGCCCCAATTAATTGCAGCCTCCTGTACCCTGCCATCAGGGCCAGGACACAGCTCTGGTCCTCTCCAGCCCAGCACGCTGCAGGGACAAGCATCACAACTGCGGCTCAGAACAGCTCTCCCCACGCCAGCTCATCCCAGGCTCCTGCACGTACCTTCTTCTTCTTCTTGTGACCCTCAGCAGAGCCATCTGCTACAGGCTCCCCTTCTGAAGATGCCTTTTTACTCTTCTTCTCTTTTCCAGTCTTTTTTTCTGGGAGAGAAAAGACAACTAAGAGAGGGACTCTGGTATAGCAAGCCTTTGAGGCGGAACACAGTGATGACAGCATCTCGAGTAGGTTTTTGATCACATCTGAACCCGAGCAAGCTTTCCAGAGCAGTAACAGGGGGAGGGCAGAGCCCTGCTACAAGGCAGCTGGGCCCAGGGCTGTTTCTCCGGTATTGGAAAGGTTTGATCCCACCATCCATGAACATGTGTGGGCAGAATTAAACAGGATTCCCTTCTTTCCACCTCCTGCTGCTCACCTGCTCTGAGTAACTGCTTCAGCGCTGGAGTAGCTGGGCACACCCCAAAAATCAGAGCAAGGGCAACAACTACCATGCGACGGACATGAGGTTCAGCTCAGTGCAACTGCCCCAAGAGGCTCCAGCTCACCCCTGTACACGTACAAGGAAGAATCCGTCTTCTCCACAATGCAGGGCTGCATCTCTGAGGAACAGAAACCCCAGCAGATCTTGCCTACCCATTCCATCTTTTTTATTTTTTTTCCCCAGCACAGAACCAGCTCTGATTTGCAAATGCAGTTTGCACCACAAAGGAAAAAAACCTGCCCTAGGGCAGCAAGCAAGGCATTAGAGAGACGGGTGCAGATAGGAGGAGCAGGAAACGCTCTTAACTGGGAGCAATGAGCATGGGGCTGGTACCATCTTCTTTTTTCTGGGGGTTTGAAAGCAGCAGCAATAGCCTGAAATCCCTTGAACGAGCTGCTCACCACATTGCAGCACAGCCACTGCTCAGGCAGGGTCAGGAAAGGGCCCGGCCGCTCCATGGGGACCGGCAGCGGCTGACACTGCAGAGGATGGCGCAGATTTCAAGGCCAATCTCTTTTAAAGAGGCTGGGAGCCGGGGGCCGTGTTCAGGAAGTTCTGACCGACACAAAGGCCCATGTGCGATGCTGGCCTTCCCCTGCTGTGCCCGCAGTACTCCTCAGCCACGTTGCACCTCCACCGATTTGGGTCGCATTTGCCGCAGAAGAGCTAGTGCAGCCCGAGCTGGGTTAGCAGAGCCCTTCTGCGCCACAGGGACAGAGCAGGACACCGGGCAGAGCACAGAGCACAGCTCTCAGGGCTTATGAATAGTGAGAACTCTCCCAAGCCCAGCACAGGCAGAGCAAGACCACACGAGGGGGGCAAAGAGGCCTCAGGAGGTTCTGTGTGGACTCACCTCAACCCTGTGCCAGCTCTCAGCTAGACTGCTGCTTCCAGCCAGGATAAAGGGCAGGAAAGGAGAAAGCCCTCAAGGGACAGGTCATGCCGTGGAAGATGCACAGAGATACCAGCTTGCCCTGCAAGCAGCAAGGATCTGCACAAGTATTAATGTGGTTCCCACTGTGCAAAGGACCCGGTGCAGAAAAACACTGAAGCGGGGTGTTAAAAATCTGGCCGTGGCTTTGGGTGCGCCAGGGAAGCAGCCAGGCAGGAAGCTAACGGGAAAACGGGTGCTACTTACAAGGCCCCGCACCAGACGCTGAACGTGCATCAGCTGCAAGAACCTATCGCAAATGCAGCCCCAAGTGAGGGATGCTTACTTTTAGCTGATTTTTTCTTTTCCTTGCTGCCTGGCAGCTTCTCCAGGTCACCAGCTGCTTTCTTCTTTTTCTTTTTGGGTACTTCTTCGTTAGCTTGCACTTTCTGCTTCTTCTCCTTGGGCTGCCCAATAGCCTTATCCTCTCCTGGCAGTTTCCGCTTCTGATGTGTTTTCTGCTTCTTGTTCTCTTTGTCTTTGTTCTTAGGTGTTTTCACAGGCTTATCTGCCAGGGAGGAAGGTTTCTTTTTTTCCTTCTTTTCTTTTTTCTCTTTTTTCTTCCTCTTCTTCACTTCCAACCCTTCCAGTGTTTGCGCTGCAGGAACTTTGGCAGCAGT